ATCAATAGGACTGCAAATCATGTGAACGGATCATCGCAAGTGATGGCCAATGATTTGCCCAAAAATGTTGCCTTAAATGACGACACTTTACTCGAGAGTATAAAGTTTGTGTCGTTAGAAGACGATGAGAACAACCAGAACTTGGATTTGTCACAAACGGAACAGATCTTAATGTTGTCTTATATCAAGAGTTTTCAACGAATCGGTTCATCTTCTGATGAGCTCTTATCGGAACAATTGAACTCTTATTTAGCGTTTTTGATCTCAAAAACCAAAATGTGGTCCGTTTTGACGAATTGTCTTCTAATGAGAAGTTTACTCGAGAGGGATTCGGTTCATCTTCTGATGAGCTCTTAGCGGAACAATTGAACTCTTATTTAGCGTTTTTGATCTCAAAAACCAAAATATGGTCCGTTTTGACGAATTGTCTTCTAATGAGAAGTTTACTCGAGAGGGAGAGTAGAAGACGAGTCGAGCGTTCAATGACTCAAATCAATGAATTGGTTGATTGCGTCCGAGAATCGCAATTGACTTCATTGCAGACCATTCAGAGATCAAAGCACTTCTATTCAGTGCTTCCCAATCCGTTTTGGATAACAGAGAGACATTTGGCCAACATTTTGGTCTCTCTTGGAGTGAATAAATCGGCATTAGATATATACCTCAGACTCAATCTATGGGATGATGTCATCGATTGCTATCAAAGGTTTGATTTTTAACATTTGAATTAATTTATGAGCAAATGTTTAATAACTGGAAATTCATTTCCAGGATCGGACGAAGAGATAAAGCAGAGGCTATAATACGGGATCAGTTGAAGGACGAGGAGACACCACTTTTGTATTGTCTTTTGGGTGACACCACAGATAATCTCGAATATTACGAAAAGGCGTTACAATTATCTGAAGACAAGTATCCGAGAGCTCACAAAGCATTAGGAAATCATTACTTCAAACTAAAGGAATATCCCGAATGTATCCCTCATTTCAAGCGATCGGTTCAATTGAATTCAATGCAAACGGATGTCTGGTTTCGATTGGCCTTTGCGGCGATGATTA